TTCGAAAAACCAAAAAAAAAAAAAAAAAAAAAAAGAATTCTTATTGGTGATTTCATGGCAATTGTTAAATTTTACTGCGTGTGTGTGTGTGTATGTGTGTGTGTGTGTGTGTGTGTGTGTGTGTGTGTGTGTGTGTGTGTGTGTGTGTGTGATGTTATCTAGCATGTAGGCATGTAGCTGGGACTATAAAGAAGGTAGAGGATGTCTTATGGTTATTCTGGAATTTGTTTTACACACAACTGGTTTTGGAGAGCCCACTTAAAGAGGGTTTCTTTTTTCTCTTTTTTTCCTCAGCCTTTTGGTATCCTGTTATTAAAGACAAACAAGTTTAGTGAGATAGAAACTCAGATAAGGCATACAGGCAGCACACTGAGTCTGACCTTGTAACCTCCTGACTGGGATCCTGTATCATCCACATATAGATTTCTATACTGACAATTTGTCATGCTCACACAACCCCAGTATCATCCAAAGGTGCATTTCAAAGAATCTGTCCCTAAATCCTGTAATTCTTGCTAAGATCAAAATTGAACTGAAATGTATTGTGACCTTGTTTATTCTGGGAAGTGGAAGGGGGGGACAGCTTGGTAATGTGAAGCTGATGTTGATATGCAGAGGGAAGCAACAAATGACTGATTATGCAAGTCTGCAAAAGCAAGTATTTTTAAAGCTATTTCTAACTCAGGAAATCAAAATAGCTTGCCAGATGTGACATGTAGTTTTCTATAGAATTCATAATTTTCTTTATGCACTTAAATATCAGAGAAAAAGAGATTTATACAGAGAATCACTCAAAAAAATGGGTTGGACTTTCGACCTTCCTCCCTTTCCTACTGTCCCTTCCTTCTATCTACTCCTCCCTCTCAGCCTCCTTCCCTTCTTTCCTCCCTCCTTTCCTTCCTCCCTTCCTGTCTTTCCTTCCATATTCCTTTCCTTCCTCTTTATATTTGTGTAAGGCACACTTGAGTATGGAAATTGAACATAGCAGAATAAACTAATGTTCTACAAACACTCTTAAATATTGCAATAAAAATCAAAGATTTTTAATGTTGATCTAATAAAAATGAGAAATTAAACTTCTTAAGTAGTGAGTTCTCACCCAATCCTATGAGTCTATAAATGTGTCTATAATTCAGGTTTTTAAATAAAATATATATTAAATACATAATGAAACTTAATAAAACCTTCCAAATTGAACTTGAGAGTCCTGTACACTAGTAAGCCCTACTAGCTTGCTTCTCATGGCTGTGTGAATCATGATTTAACACAGCCCATTTGCTTATATTCTAGTTTATTATCTTCTGTATTTTATCACAGAGCATTAAAAAATTTTGTGTTTATCAGATATATCAGGGATATTTGTAAAAAGGCCAAATTGGGTTTTACCTTAAATATTATTTATTTACTGTTTGTATTAATTTTTTATCGGTTGAAAGTTTCATACATGCATACAACTTGTTTTAATGTAATCTCATTCCCTCTACTCTAGTTCTTCCCCAACTTACACAATATTCCCTCCCAACTCCCTTTGTTCTTCTCCTCTACCAATTCCACTTAGAATATGCATGTGTACAGTTATTTTGATTCATGTCCATACCTTCTCATCTCCTTGTCTCCCCTGTTGTCCATCCTCTTTTTCTAATGATCAACTTCCCCAGATTCATACCTTTTTGTATTATTTGTATCCTTCTAGGTTTGACTAGCACCATTAGAATGATCTTGAAATTAAAACTATCTACTAGAGTCTAGTGGTCACACTGAAGGCAGTGGCTCTCTCTCTTCCAGAGGTTATCAGTAGCTGATAATTAAGCAGTAAGGGACTGGGTCCCATGAGCCTCTTTCTCATCAATGAATGACTATTGAGAAGGCCTGTCTGTGTGCAGGCCCAGGGCAAGTAATTGCAGCTTCTGTGAGTTCATGATTGCACTGTTTGTGCCCTGTCCAAAAGATGGAAATTTGCAACCCTTATCCCCATCTACAGGTGCTTACGTTCTTTCTTTCCCCTCTTCTGCAGTGTTCCTTAAGCCTTGTAAGAGGTAGTATAAACAATTTGTTTAGGGATGAACCTTTCTGTCATTCATCTCTTATTCTCTGCATCTTGAGTGGTCATGAGTCTCTATACTCACCATTAGTCACTGCAATAGAAACTTCTCTAATTCGGGTTGAGATAGCCTAAGTGACAAGTGTAAACACAAGTATTTAGAAAACAGTTTTGTATTATGTATTGAACTTTCACCATCAGTAATGATTTCCCTTCTATGGCCTATGGCCTCTCAAGGCACACACTTTACTTGCAAGGTATAACAAAATGAAACTGGAACTGGGGTGGACACTTCTTTGATGACTAGAGTGCTGGAAGTTGCTCTGGAAGTTGCTGGGGGAGAAAAGCCATCATTCATCTTACCTATATGTGAATTCTATAAACTACATCACCAAACTTGCCAGGTAAAATGTAGCCAGATATGTAGTATTTGTGCAACTGTTATGGGGATAACCACCTTTCATATGTTTTAGTGCTGATGACTTAATTTTACTCTGATATCCTGATAGCAATAGAAATCATAGCCTCATAATGCTTACCATCTTAGGAGATAAAGCTCCAAAAAATAGCTTTTGAAAATTTAGAATCTAATGTCATTCACATGATTCATGAACAAAGCATCCAAGTCAAACTGTAGGATGAATCTTAAAAGGTCTTATTAACAGAAAAAAACCTAGGGCCAGATATTGGGATAAATTCTGAAAGATCAGAGAGACAGAACAAGTCACAGCCAACCTCCCCTCACCAACTCCTCAGCTGTTCCTGTTTCCACCAATTCTCAGACTGAAAGTCTTTGAGTCCAGACCCCCGATGGTCTTAGTTGAACTTCTGCTAAAAAGCCTCTGGTTCTTGGTCCTCATGCCTTATATACCTTTCTGCTTCCTGCCATTACTTCCTGGATTAAAGGTGTGTGTCCTTCCCAAGCAAAGACATGAGATCTCAAGTGCTGGAATTAAAGGTGTGTGCCACCATGCCTGGCTCTGTTCCCAGTGTGGCCTTGAACTCACAGAGATCCAGATGGATCTCTGCCTCTGGAGTGACAGGATTAAAGGCATGTGTGCCACCACTATCTGGCCTCTATGTCTAATCTAGTGGCTGTTCTGTTCTCTGATCCCCAGATAAGTTTTCTTTATTAGAGCACAAATAAAATATTACTACACCAAACTCTATCCTGTTGTAAGATATACTGAAGCTGGTTTAATTTAAGATTTCAATGTATTGTGTGTAGTTAAAACAGCTCAATTTGTGAAAGCATCAACATTTAGAAATTTTAGGAAACTGGAACAGAAATAAATGATTAAAATATAAAATTGTAACTTCTATGATGAAAGAGTAAATTAATATAATATTCAAACTATAAAGAGCCACTGTGGCTTTCCAGTATCATCTAACTTTTCAAAATAAGTTTTCTTTCTGCAGTCATCCACAGGTAGGCAGGGATTGATTTGTTGAAGTAGTTTATTCTTCTAGTGGAATTTTTTAGAGGTGATTACACTGTTTTGGCTTTGCTGTCATGTCTATTAGTTTGCCAGTGAATTAAAAGATTAATTGGAGATGGTAGAGATATGGTTCATTGGGTAAGAATATTTGCTGAGTAAGCATGAATAAATTTCCACTATTCACATAAAAAACTTGGCATGAATGTACATGCTCTCTTAACCCTAGAACCATAGGTGGAAGAAATAGGATATTCAATAGAGCTTGGTGGCTGGCATACTAGTTTCGAGTTCAGTAAGAGCTGATTCCTCAAGGGAATAAAGTAGAGAGAAGTAGAGGAAGGCACTAGGCATTGTACTCATTCATAAGTACACATAAACCACATAAAACAAATCTTTCTCTCTCTAATACACATACACACATACATACATACACATACAGGTACACACAAAACACTCATATGTAATAAAAGTAAAACTCAGTGAGGCCATGTTCTGTGTATGTGTCCTTCTCATGTGATGTTCCTTTTCACTTTAATAATCTGCAGAATCCCTATAAAGAAGGAACTAATCAGTTACAGGCTATCTACCTTGTACCTCTCAGCCTCTAACTGAATAAAATTTTATTCTTTATAAAAGTTCTAGTCTTCAATATTTTTGTAATAACATAAATCATACTAAAACAAAGACTTAAAAAAACAATGTTTAAGTGTCCATAATTTTTTATATGTGGATATAAAAAATTAGCTAGATTCCTAGTTTAAGGTAATCTCTCTAAAGGAGCTATTGGGAAGGCTCAGGCATCAAGAATGGAGGAGATGCAGCATAATAAAAAATATAGAAGGTGAGGCCTTTTGATGTGCGAAGAATGGAGAACGGGAAAGTGATGGAGACATTTGAAGAAATCATCAGAGCCTGATATGGCTTGTAGAAGACAGAGAGAAGACAGGCGAGGAGGGAAAATTCTTAAAGACTTTGAATAAGAATTATCTTTCCATTGCTAGAAATTTTCAGAGCTGTTGTAAAGGTAAAGAATTCCAATACTGTAGATACATTGTTTTCTCTGAATCAGAACATAATGAACCCAATGGAAGAATTGGCCCCCTTTAGTTGTGCACAGTGAACAAAGGTTAATAGCTCTGTCTCCCTTGTTGAACACTAGTGGTTCTATTTATTTGAAAAGGATGAAATGATTCTAGTGTACAGATTTTGTTATCTGGCTGCATAAATTCTCCCTGCTGCATAGCTTCTCTGTCTGTGTGATGTTTACCTTAGTGAACTATTGTTCTTCCAACTGTTGCTCTGCTTTCTCAGTTATCACTTCACTTAAAAATTGGCTTTTTAAGTCCAATAGTTTTCATTTCTAACATGTGTCACATTCTCAGTGACTCATGCTTACACTGAGTCCTTCTAGAAGCACTGTTTCAGTCAGCAGTCCCATCAGAACATATGGTAGATGTTTGTTTGGCAACAGGGCCATGTTAATTGCCATGTGCTTATCCTACTTCCCTAATATTTTTCAGCTTTGTGATACGACTATGAGAATGTAAGCTTTATAAATTCCTTAAGATGTTATGAATCTTCAGAGAGGTGGCATCTTTCTCCAGCAGCAATTGGGAGCAGCTTTGGAGACCCACTGTCAGACATTATGTGGAGAAAGAGTCTAAACTGGAGGTCTCCATCTGGCCCTTCAGTTGGAGATTTGGGAGCCCCATGGAAGAAGGGGAGAGAATGAAGGACACCGGGAGAACATGGCCCACCAAATCAACTAAACAGGGCTCACATGGCTTCACAGAGACTGGAGTGCAAGCACAGGGGCTTCATGGGTCTGCACCAGGTCCTCCTCTGTGTATGTGTTATTGTTGGTAGTTTGGTATTTTTGTGAGACTCATAACAATGGGAGCTGGTGTGTCTCTGACTCTTTTGCATACTTGAGGCCCTTTCCCTCCTGTTGAGTTGCTTTGTTCAGCCGCAATATGAGGGCTTTTTTATGGTATCTTGTTTTGTCTTGTTTGACTGGCTGTCATTTCTTGGAAGCCTGCTCTTTTCTGAAGAGGAAACAGGGGAAGTAGATCTTGGAGAGGTGGGAGGGAGTCAGGAGGAGTGGAGGAAGGGGAAACTGTGGTTGAGATGCATTGTATGAGAGAAGACTCTATTTTCAATAAAAAAGGAGAAAAATGTTTATTTCTTGTTGAGTTAAAATTTTTAAGAAAAGATATTATGAATCTAAGAATAGGCTTTCCTCCACACCAAGGAACTGATTTTTTGACATGTGCATAGCCACTTTAATGTGAACAGAACAAAGACTTTATTTGGAGATAGGAGTTTTGCAGATATACTTAGTTAAGTTAGCACTACAGTAGGGCAGGCTCCTGACAGTAGGACTGATGTCTTTATAGAAATGGAAGAGGGGTTCTTAGAATATTGGTCAATCAATTCATGTCAGTCTTTCTGATCAATATTAAGAGTTTGGTCATGGTCTTAACTTTTGAAGGTAAAAATTTGCAATGATAAAGTAATATTTTTGAATACATAATTGATTCTGTTATATTTATTTAAAACATGACCTATTGGCACAGACTGTGGAATAAATTGATTCCAACTTCACAAAAGTCCAATTTGTCACTAATTGAAAAAAACATTGACCAAAAGATAATACAACTTTATGCTATCCTAAAAACAGTGATAAACCTCAGCTATAATAACTAAACTACAGCACTAGTTCTAATAGCATTTTTGTATCTATGTATTATGGAAAACCATGAGAATAACAGAGCATTTTAATAGGCTGTGCTTAAGACTAGTAATTTTTGAAATTGTGAAGCACTAGTTGACAATGATTACTGCCTTGGGAAAGAGTCAGTAGAAGCGTTTCAAGTCAATGCCATGACACAGAACAAAGAAGACCCATTTATCAACTCCTCAGAAAAACACAGGTGTACCCCAGATTTCCACAGGAATCTCCATACAGGTAGAGTCTTTACACTGGCTCTGAGGACAGTTCTTTCAGATTCAAACATCAGAAATATTTTAGATCTTAGCCTATGTACTTTACTCCCCTTCCCTCAGTGAGGAAAAACTAATAAAATCAGTAATATAAAATAAATCTTGTCAGAAACATTAAAAAATCTATCTTTAATCTTCCATTTATAAGATAATATGGATTATTTTCTTTGATTTATTTATTTGAGACAAATATATTGAAGAACAAGAGCTGCCAGGAACTGTTCTCAATCCTGAGCACAGCAGTGAAGAGGCAAATTCCTTCTTCCTCTACTAGTAGGAGATGTAGGTTAACCATCCCATGCATTAAAACAGTCACCATTCTAAAATGTAAATTTCAATGTTTTGTTTATTTGTGGAGTTGTCTATCATTATACAATTATAGAACATTTTTATCATCTCTAAAAGAAAACCTCAATCTTCCTCCCCAGCATCAGCTCTTCTTTTTCAGAAAATTGCTCATCCATGCTCTGTTTGCACATCTATGTCTGCTTTGAAGTTTTCATATACATGTAACTGTAAAGTATATAACCTGTTACACTTGGTATAATTTCTGAATCGCCATCAATGTTGTAGCACACACTAGTAATTTTTCCTTTTGGTGGCTGAATAATATCATATTGTCTACATCTTTGTCAGACATTAAACTGTTTTTTTTTTCAGTAGGTGATTAGATAAGAAACTGAGTATTTATTCCTGTCCTGTGACAGTGGAATTCAAATGTAAGGTTATGTGAACATGTGGCAAGTATTTGTGGAATCCAGAAAAAGGCTTTGGATCCCCTGAAGCTGTCCTTCAGGCTGTTGTGAACCTTGTTATGTGGGTGGTAGGAAATGAACTCTACTCCTCTGAACAAGCAAATACTCTTAATTATGGTGCCATCTATCCCAATCACAAATGTAAAGAAATGAAAATGAGCTATTGTATGGGAACTTTTCATTGATGCTGCTTGTCAAAATTTTCTTTGCATGGCCACTGCTGACCTTTGTCAGAACTTTTGACTAAATCTGTAATATATTCTAAGTTACTCTTTATAGTAGAGATTTTTATGTCTAGGATCCATCCCAGCAAAATAAAGTTTATAGTTGACCTCTACCACATATCCCAGTGTACTGATGGGGCATGATTTCTTACTACAGAAGAAGTGAACAATATAGATTTGGAGCTCAGTGCCAGATTCTTAGCATGTTCTAGTGAGTAGGAAAGACTAGGAAGGTAATGGACAAAAAATTCTGTGTCCCCTAAATATTCAAATCCAACATTGTATCTTAGATACATGATTGATACCAGGAGGCCAAAAGATAGCAAAATCATATGGGAAAGAGAACCAGCTAAAGCCAAGGATTATGACGGCATAATGTTTCTATATTAAGACATGGAAACTTCATTATTTAAGAGCATCAGGAACTAAGAGGGACCTGAATTTCACTCTTCAGTGATGAGTTTGCTCCAAGTTGGAAAGACGTAGGTTAAAACTTCTGAAACCCATTGATGAATCTTTGGGCCTTGTGTCACTGATTGTCTTGTTATGAAATTGTCAGGAAAAACAGTAATACTGTTAATATTGATTGTCAACTTGAAAGAATCTAGAACCATCCAGGAGACAAGCTTCCTGGCACATTTTTGGGGGATTATGGGACTATCCAGATTTGGTTAACCCCTCTAAGTATGCCTGTGAGAGGTGAGAAATTGTCTTGGTTGGGTTATCCTTTGAAGGATTATCTAGATTAGATTCACTAAAGTGGGAAGACCTACTTTGCCAGTTCCGGCAACATCATTTCATGGGCTGTAGTGCTGGACTGCAACAAAATGAAGTTGATCTGAGTACCAGCATCCATCCCTTCTTCCTGGAACTCAGAGGCAGTGTGATGAGGTACCTCATGGTCTACTGCCACGAGCCTCCCGGCATGATAAACCGGATGCTGGAACTGTGGCCTAGAAAAAAAGAAACAAAAAACAAAACAAAAAAAAACTCTTTTGCTTAATTGATCTTGCTGTGGTATTTCATCAGGACAATGAGAGACTTGTTTCTTTTCTTTAGATCCTCTCTAGTATCATGACTGCCAAAAGGCCCAAGCAGTATTACTGGTAGTCACAGGAAATCCTGATAACCACGGTCAGTTTTCTGACATAGATGTTTGGATAACCTGTTCCTTTAAAACTGGTATAAAGGTTCTGGCAGCCAAGCTCCAAGGGAAAAAACAGCACCAAAAATTCTATCCATCAACCAAGAGGAGGAAGAGCTATAATGACCCTATGTTCCTGGAGAAAAAGTGACACCCATCTTAGGCTTTACCACCAGAGGCCTTTTTCTCTTCTTCCCCTACAAAGACTTCCTCTGAGTTTGTGATTCCCCTGCATATCTATAAGGGCTCCAAAATGCTCTCTACCTGAATATAGCAGATGTTTCAATTACCATCTCTGATTTCCTGAACTTCCCTGCCTGGACCCAGACCCTTGCAGTTTCTGCTGTTCTTCACTCTAAACCCTTAGACTCACTCATTTTGAGTCAAAGAATTCAAACAAGACTCTCCCACTCCTATTTATTGCATATGTTACTTTCTCAACCAGTGACCTGTACAATTGGAAGTTTCAGGGCTCTTCTTTCTCTGAGATACCACAGGCATTCATTCCCAAACTATACACTATCATGAGTCTTATTCCTCCAGAAAAATAGTGCACATTGTCTTGGACCTGAAAGATGCAATCTTCAACTTCCTATTGGCAGAGATAAGTCAGCCCATCTTTGCTTTTTAATGGACAGACCCAGAGGGAGGTTATAGAGGGCAACTTAGCTGGACCAGGTTGCCCCAAGGATTTAAAAATTCACCAACCCTGTTTGATGAAGCACTTAGGTCTAACCTCCTGCCTTTCTGTCAAGGTTCCCCAGGACCACACTCTTACAATATGTAGATTACCTCCTCCTGGCCTCTGAAACTGAAATAGATTTTTAAAAAGCCACCGAGGGACTGCTGCAGCAGTTACAGATCTTGGGCTACAGAGTGTCAGTTAGAAACCCCAACTTTGTACATCAGAGACTAGTATTTCAGCTACCAGCTAAGGGGAGGCAAAAGGAGCCTGTCTTAGAGTAGGCTTGCTGCCATCCTTCAGTTCCCACCTCCAAAGACTAAGAGGTAGGTTTTAGAGTTCCTAGGTGGGATTGGATGTTGCTGCCTCTGGATTCCAGAGTTTGTGGAATTAAGATGGTCTTTCTATACAACAGCACAAAAGGGGTCACTGTGCCTTTAATCTGGTTGAGACTAAACAAAAGACATATGAGGCTTTAAAATTAACTTTAACTTCAGCTCCAGCCCTAATACACCCAGATGTCTCAAGACCTTTTCATCTGTTTGACTACAAAACAAAAGTCATTGCAAAAGAGGTTTTAACCCAAACTCCAGAGTCATGGAAACAAACTGTAGCTTACCTGTCCAAACAATTGAACCCTGTAGCCACAGGATGGCCTACCTGTCTAAGAGCTGTGGAGGTTACCACTATTCAAGTGAAAGAAGAAGACAAGTTAACTCTGCAACAGGATCTTATACTCACAGCACCCCACGTGGTTGAGGCCTTCCTCCAAGAAACACCGGCTGTCTAATGTCTGTGTGACGTAGTACCAGGCCCTACTCCTGGACTACCCTTGAGTCCAGTTTATGAAATCCACTGCCATCAATCCTGCTACCCTCTTGACTGATGACAACCCACAGGTGTTCATGTTCATTCATGACTGTCTTGAGGTGACCAGGGCGGTCCAGGGGATCTGCCCAGACTTAATGCACATCCCCTGCAAGATCTCAATGCAGTGCTCTACAAAGATAAAAGCAACTTCATTAAAATGGAACCAGGTATGCAAGGGCTGCAGTAGTCACTTTAATTGAAATGATTTGCCAAAGCCTTATGGCCAGGTAACTCAGCTCAGAAAATAAAACTGATGACTCTGACTCAGACTCTCAGGTGAGGAAAAGGAAGGTCCATCAGTAGACAAACATACAGACCTATGATTTTATTCCCTTACATGTCCAATGGATGATGTATAAAGTAAGAGAGCTTCTCACCATTGGGGGAACAGATATTAAAACAAAGAAATCTTGGCCTTCCTAAAGGTATTTGGCTTCCCCTATGAGTTGCTATCCTCCACTTCTGAAGACATCAACAAGATGATGCCCCTGGGGTAAGAAGTAACTGGGACACTGACCTGGCAGCCTTAAGACCAGTGGGGACTGTTGATATTCTGATGACATAACATGACCCAATGTTTCCTGAAACTCAATGGTAAATAGAGGAAATAGGAAATATAGGATGAAAAAAAAAAAAAAAGGACAGCTCAAACCTGCAAGTTGTAGGAAAACAGAGGGGAAGATTATTCTCCCAGCGACCATCAGCAGGGTTCTGGTAACTAACCTTCACCAGTCTACTCATCTGGGTTCCACAAAATTTTCTACATTGATCATACCAAGGTATGTTATACCTAGAATGGATAGCCTGGTGTTAGTATTCCCAGCCAGATGCCAAGTTTGTACTCAGATAGATCCAAAACAGAGAGCCCTTATGCAGGAAGGGGTCTGAAGGAAAGGCCAACACCCTGGTGACCTTTGGGAAACTGGCTTCACTGAGATCCAATCTCCCAGGGGAGGATACGGTACTTGCTACTTTTTATAGATACTTTTTCCAGGTGGGTAGCAGGCTGAAACTGCTCATATAGTAGCTTAAGTTTCCCCAGGAACTGGTCCTTCCCCAGGAATTAGCTTTTTAGCAATGGGGTCAGGCAATAGTTTAGCTTTCACAGTCAAACCTCTCAACTCATAACTAAAGCTTTAGACACAGATGAAATTTTTCATTTTGTGTATAGACCTCAGAATTCTGGGCAGGTATAAATAAACAAACAGGATGTTAGAAAACAAACAAAAAAACCTAACAAAACTCTCATAAGAGTCCAACGAAGGATAGATAAACCTTCATTTGCTTTGCTTTGAGTCTACTGCACCCTACAAAGCGAGATGATTCACCCCCTAGAGAATCTATTCGGAAGAACTCCTTAACTACTTTCATGGCTCAGAGACCAGCAGTCAGCCTAACCCTCTTAACTATTACTTTCTCAACTGACTACAGGCCCTCCAGTCCTCCACAAAGGCTATGCATCAGACTGTTCAAGAGTCCCAGCCAACCTCTGAAGCCATTACCAGTTTCCCTTTGTTCAAGCCTGATGATACTGGCTGGGTTAAGTAGGTAACCAAAGCAACACTGGAACCAACTTGGAAAGTACCCTACATGGTTATTCTGTCCATTACTATGGGTGTGAAGGTAGCTGCTAATACACCATGAATCTACTACACGCACATCAAGAAAGTGGAAGTCACAGATGTTGCTGCCAAATGGACTGTTTCTCAGACTATAGACCCATTAAAATTAAGGTTTTATTGGGCTCCAGGCCCTTTCATTTTCTGAGTCTTGTGTTTTGCCCTTTTGGTATAAGTACAGGGCATGGTTCAATTCCTATTACCCTTGGTCTGGACCTGAGAACTAGGGAAGACTGATACAGAGAAGGTGCTAGCTAGCATAAAAACAGATCAGCACCCTATATACTATATTGACATTTGCTAACTGATGCCAATTTGTAGACAAATTTCTAAACAGTCTTATTAAATAAGAAACACAGAGCCAAATACAGGGGTGAAAGCCATAGGGATCAGAGAAATAGTGAATAGCCACGACTAGCCTTAGCTTACCACCATGCTATAGCTTCCCCAGCTTCTTTCTGTCTAACCTGTGCTTTTTTTTCTTTCCTGTTCTGCCTTCTCATTGACTCTAAGCCTAGTCACATCACTTATTCATCACTGCCTGTCTATACAGATCTCCAGGACTCTATGGTTGGTACTGGGATTAAAGGCGTGTGTCACCACACTTGGCTGTGTCCTTGAACGCACAGAGACTCTGCCTGCCATGTGGTCAGATTAAGGCCATGTGCTACCACCATCTGACTTCTATTTAATGGCTTGCTATGACCTCTGATCTCCAGGCAAATTTTATTTATTAGCATACAAATAAAATATCACCACACCAACTTATGTGTCTGGTTTTATTGGAAAAGAAAAGAT